TATATATATACATTCTTCTGTCAATAAGGCAGAACACAGAGAAACAGATAAAATAAGGTTTTTTTCTCATACTGACTTGCCTTTGGGATTAAGGAACCAAATAATCTCTAAATTTATGTCCTATATTTTTATGATGTTACACCTGAGATACTATTACAAATGAAAGAGAATAAGATGTTTTGAAGTACATGTTTTGACTTCGTTTCAATTTCTCATGTACAGAGAACAATGAAAAGTGTACAATACCCTTTGAGATAACTGAATGCAAAATTACCATCAACTTGAATTTGAGAATCATACACAGTTCATTCTAACTTGGATATAAAAAATATTAGAACTCAGATTTCACAGCAAACGACATTTCTGCTTGGCCAAGGACAAGCTCCTAAATTCCTTACTCTTACAATTGTGCTTGAAATGGCATTCACCCTAGATGCTTAACCAGGAAAAATCAGGCCAAGGAGGAAAACCATAAACCATTAAGGGACCCATAAAGCATAAGACCCAATCACCTGAGTTTGGCAAAGGAAAGCTGTCAATACAACTGAAGATAAACTGAAAAATCAGCCTCCTGCAGTTTGATGGATTCAATACTGTTCTATTTACACAGAAGACTGAGCTAACACTGTCACACTGCACTAAACGTCCTGAACGACTGGATGTGCTTCCAAATTCAAATCATACAATAACAGGACATTTGGAATCCTTTTCTCATTGTAGATGTTAAGAATAAGGATAAAATACATTTATCTACTCCTGGTTTTAACTCCTCTCAGTTGCTGACAACGGTGCAGGACTAAATTTTCTCTTCTGTGATTACATGCAGTTCAGCTTAATTTCTATAGGAGTTATATAAAAGCCATTATTAATTCAATTTGGCTCACAGTTTTTAATTGTAGAATACCTGGAAGGATACTATGTATACAGAGTTAAAGTTAATTACAATTGCCAGTATGGTGACTCAATTATTTCAATCATCTCCTGCATTTTGCTCAAAATCAACATTCAACAGCAATATTAGCCACAACATTTTTGCTACAAATTTAAGTAAAGTGTCTGTAGTTTTAAAGATACTCTAGAAAATGTGCCTTATCTTCCTCATCCATACATCCATATAACTTCTTTCTTTTTGTTTAGAAAACTGGAAGAACATGTGCTTCCACAATTGTAAATACTTGTGACATTTATATGTGTATTTCCCTGATAGAAATATATATAGCCTTAAACTCTAGTTCATAAATTACCATGGACCAAAAAAAAAATCATTAAACGTTAAAGTCCTTATGATAATGTACAGTATTATGCGTATCTAGGATTCATAATAAATTTTTAATGTTCTACTAATCCCTAAGATAAAAAGCTCAAGAACTTAACCTCCAGCAATCTCAGCAGTCTCAACATGTCACCAGGCTGTCAAAGGTTCCTCTTTCAATCTAATTGCCATTGGGCAAGGTGGGCTTGGTGAGAGCTCCTTGCTAGTCCATTACATATATACTACAGTGTCAGACGCTGCTGTGACAGAGACCACCAGTATGACTCCCAAGGCAGCTGTTGAGGTGGATTTGGTTTAATTATTTCTAATTCCAGAGATATTACAAAGCCAGAGCAGTGTCAATAGTTTCTGTTTCACTTCCACCTTCTGTGTGGAAGGCAGCAAGCTGACAGCTTTCTCTTTGCACATTCCAACTGCAGCTAAACATTTCTGTAGAGCTGTTCAGCTAACTAGAAAACTCTTAAAGTGTTACAACAACCTGAACAGAGTCATCAAAAGGAAATATTTCCTTTTTGCCAAGAAAAACTTATTCCCCTATGTGACTACTGAACATTTCACAATTTACGTTTCAGATGTTTTGCTGCGGTGGAGGGCAGTAATGGAATGATTATAATGAGACAATGTGGTCTGCTGGATACGTCTCAGACAAATTCTGGACATCAGCCCTTGTTTCTTAATGACATAGTAGCTTGACATAAACTCAAACATACATTGAGATCTCCACATGATCCTATAGCAGGTGTGACATTCCTGTAGCCAACCATTGTGTTTGTCCCTGTGTCCTAATCAATGTAAAAAGAAGTCCTTCAATGTTAGTAATATATGCATGTGATATTTAAATTATCAAAAAAAGACATGACATTTATTAAGTCAAAATAAATCTTTTTCTTTAGGAGTGAAAGTGCTACTTTGAGTTTGAAAAACAAAGAAGAGTTACATTTTTGCATTTCCTAGTGTATGTTTCATTAAAGAATGTTGACTCTGAGTTTTAATTATTGTTTACTTCCTCCTTTCCCCTGACAGCTGTGCGAGCTGACCGAATGCGTGGTGGCCGAAACAAATTTGGACCAATGTACAAGAGAGACAGGGCATTGAAGCAGCAGAAGAAAGCTCTTATCCGAGCAAACGGACTTAAACTGGAAGCCATGACTCAGGTGATCCAAGCAATGCCAACTGACCTGACAATATCCTCTGCAATCCAGAATATCCACTCTGCCTCCAAAGGCCTACCTCTGAACCACACTGCCTTGCCTCCTACAGACTATGACAGAAGTCCCTTTGTAACTTCTCCAATTAGCATGACAATGCCACCCCATGGCAGTTTGCAAGGTTACCAAACCTATGGCCACTTTCCAAGCCGTGCTATCAAGTCTGAGTACCCTGACCCGTACACCAGTTCACCAGAGTCAATAATGGGCTACTCATACATGGATAGTTATCAAACAAGTTCACCAGCAAGTATTCCACATCTGATATTGGAACTCCTGAAATGTGAGCCAGATGAGCCGCAAGTCCAAGCTAAGATCATGGCGTATTTGCAGCAAGAGCAAGCCAACAGAAGCAAACACGAGAAGCTCAACACATTTGGGCTTATGTGTAAAATGGCTGACCAAACCCTCTTCTCCATTGTTGAGTGGGCTAGGAGTAGCATCTTTTTTAGAGAACTTAAGGTAGGTAACAATCTTACATTATACTATCGTTCAGTCATAAAAAAAAATAGTTTGTTACAATGTTGTACTTCAAGCAAGAAAATATAGGTTGTGGGGTTTGTTTGTTTGTTTGTTTTGCTTTTTGTTTTCCCCACCGAGCATGTCATTCTTAATTTATTTGGCTTGAAGTAGGTAGAATATTGTGAGGAGCGACTTGTGGTTGTCTTCCACCTAATCCTGTTACAGCTCTAGCAAAGAGATTCAAGGTTCATTTGAGCTCTTCTGTACTTTACTATTGCAACTGTTAGTAACCTCCACAGGGCTTCACGGAAATTTTACTCCTTCCCTGTCAGTATTGCCTGTGCTCTGGCTTGTATTCAGAGATGTGAGCAAACTTGTTACACCATTCTATATGAATTTATTTCATCATTTTATTACCTCATTTAACGTAAGGGGGAATGTCATTTCTGTCCATCTCCATACACTTCACATACATAAGTCTGTATCTTGAGTATTCACTTTCTCACTGGGATATTATGTTGTGCATTCATGTGTGTGTAGTTAACCACAGTGACTGAATCCTAAGCAGGGTATACACAGAACAGAAAGCAAGGAAGAAGAAGATACCTTAGCGACTCTTTTTGGTTCTGATCATCACTGATACTTGGGGGATTCCTTTAATCTAGGCTGGCTACAATGACCTTTAGGCTCTTAATATTGTTGGAGCACTCAACAAATCCTCTTGCACAGCTTTCTGGTGGTGAGAAATTCCCCCGTTCACATTTCTTAGTCTCTTTGTTAATGAAATTGGGTGTCAGGTCTGAATCTTTAAGACAGAAATTTGGGATCAGATAACAGAGATAAACCACATATTTTAATCACTCTCTTGGTACAGAAATTAGCTATGAGATAAATGAAACTTCTGTCTCAAACAAACCTCAAGATGACAAACTCAAATTGCATCTGAATTTCCCTATTATATCTCTGCCTGCTACACAGAGAGGTTTTTGCCACAACTATTTCCTGCTGTTTTTTTTCTCCTTCTCTAGAGACTTTCAACACCCACCTGGGCACGTTCCTGTGCAGCCTGCTCTAGGCAAACTTGCTTTAGCAGGAGGGTTGGACTAGATCATCTCCAGAGGTCCCTTCTAACCCCTTCCATTCTCTGATTCTGTCAAATCTGTAAAGTTTTGTGACTAGCCATAATTTCTTGCTGACTGCTGTCAAACGAAGGGAAAATAATACAATATCCAAATACAACAATTACTGTAGAAGTTCACTGAAAATTGAATCTATATCAATGAAAAGCACAGAAAGGCCAGCCCATTAAGAAGCTGCAGTGAGGATGCTTGCCACTACAGTATTCCTGTCATAAGTATAAATGATGCAGGCATATGAAATAAAGCCCAATTCCAAGAAAAGCAAGCTGTATATGTTGCAAACACGACTCCAGTTTCACATCAATTTTTCATAAGAATGGTTGCAGAAACCATTAAAAACTCAGTCTACGTAGAGAGAAAGAAGGGATGAGGTTTACTCAGAGGGGGAAAAGAAAACGGATTAAAGAGGAAAAGACTGTCACATCTTTGCTATCTAAATTGTTGACAATTTTATAGCAAGCTATAAGCCATGTTAACCATTTTAAATTATTTAAAAATGAAAATTGCAAACATGCTGTATTTCCAATAAACTATGTCCTTAATATCAGGGACCCAGACCTTTCTAGCCATACACTGAAGATTACTTTAGTATGAAGTAACTGTGTTAAGAAAATCACTGAGACTTGGAGAACTAGACACTCTTCAGGGTAATGAATTTTTCATTTATGATCTACCTTAAAATTCCAGTTATGAATTAAGTGAGAATATGAAAAAATATTCAAGCAACTTTTTGTCCTTCCTGGCTTAATCAATAGACAGATTTTATAAGTATTCAACATGCTATACTGGGAATAGTTTTAGGGATGGTCTTCACCTCCAAGCTCAGCCTGGATGATACTCTTCAACCAACACGTTTACTAGTATGGACACAAAAGATGCAGAAATTTGTATCATGAAAATGCTGACCAAATTCTTCTGGCTCTACACGTATCTATACACTACCATGCATATACAGACTTCTGGAAATATATTCCAGAAATTCACTACATACAGCTTTTGGTCAGTGGACTGACCTTTCACTCATTTTTAGAAGGCACTGGATTCATCTTAGTATTTGTACCCTTTACCTGTTAGCAACTTAGAGTCCAGACAGTTTCATACCTTCTGGCATATCCACTTTTTTTTTTTTTTTTTTTTTCCCCCAACTGGACAGGATCAGCTAAACAGCACAGCATTCCAGAACGATAACAAAACACTTGGAAATCCATCAATTCCAATCAGTTAGGGATTACACACAATGCTAATTACTTTAAGTTTCTCGATTACGAAAAAAAAGTGAGGACCTCAAAACATGTTTAGATCAGACTCTAGACTGTTAACAGCACCAGGTAACACTGTCTCTCTTTGCAGCTAATAGGAGAGGAATACAAACAAATTCCAAACCTTTCCTGAACATAGCTCTATTCTATCTACCCATGGTTTCAGCTCATTCTGATCAAGGTAGTAAAAGCAGATATTTTAGATTCCTTCACAGAACATGAATACCTGTGTGAGAGGGAAAAAAAAAAAAAAAACAAAACAAAAAAACAGAAAACAAAGAACAAACAACAAAACACCTAAGGGTATGACAGAGATTTTAAACGCAGAAGGAAGGGAAGAGGCAATTTTGAAAAGATGCAACTAAATTTTCAGAGCAGTAATTTTATCTAAGCACAGCTAAGAATCTTGTATTTGCTTGAGAAGATATTTTCTTATTATTCCTGCTTGTCTAAACTTAACAACATAATTTGAGATGTCTTTCAGATGAAACAGGTGCATCAGCAGATCTTTGGGACTAAAACTTTAAATTACTCAACTAAACAGTAAAAAAGTATAAATGTGGTTTGAATTAAATTCATCATGATTTTGTCGTGATGCCTTGCACAACTGTGAGTTACTAAATAATGTTTGCAGTTCCTTACTGTATCCTTTCACTTAATTCTAAACTCAGTCTTACAGATTTATCTCTTCAATTAAAATAAAAAGGAGGAGGACATGATAAGAGAATATTGTCCGAGTCCATCAGTGGTTGAAGCCACATTTACCCTAAAGATAATAATAAAAGCCCACCAGTGAATTACCATTTAAGTTTTCTCTTTTTCTTTCCATTTGGCTAAAAATTTTATTTTTTTTTAAAGAGATATCAAATGATAACAAACATGGTTCAAAATTTTTTTCAAGAAGCTTTTATCAGCTTATGCCTATCACGGTCATCTCACTTGTTGCTCTATAAATTGTCAGCACCTCTTCTGAATGTGTTATGCAGGTAAAAGGTAAAAGGTATTGACTTGACAGAACTACCTAGGGTATACACTGCTTTTTACAGCATGCAACATGTATATCAATTTAACTATGTAATTTAAGGCTAATGCTCATACTTGCTAAGAAGCAGATCCTCCCATCTTCATGTTGAATATCAGAAATTAATGGAAATATTAATGAAGCAAACTAGTCAAGATTAGAATGTCAGAGAAAAGGCCAAAGCAGCCAGTTACAATCCAGTAAATTTTAATTTGACACCTGCTAAAATCTAAAAAAAACCCTATCTGTCTTGTGAAATAAGAATACTTTACTAATTACATCATAAATTCTGGGTTCTGACATAACGTATTACTTGTTTGTACATAGTGAGAGATGTTTCTGTATAGTTCTTCATACAGAGATGAAATAAGAATACAGAGATAACCTCCCAGTACACTCATGATGACACCAACAGTAATAGTAAAGAAGGCCTTTGCTATTGTGGAGTTCTTGAAAGCTCAGTAAATATAAAAGTAAGATATATATCCATCTTATCCTCAGCTAAGAAAACTCAGGAATTTCCCGGGGATGCTAGATTTGTAGCCAGCTGTCTTAGTCTGGTGAAAGGTCTTTGTACACAGTTAAGAAAAAAATATTGCAAGAGTTTCTAGAGGCCAAAGGTGACCTGGCCCCAACAAAGGATGCAGACAGTTCCACTGGACTGGTCTTTCCTCATCAGCCCACATCGTGGAAAATTCAGCAACCACTTCCATAGTTAGGTATTCCTGAACCCATAAAAGAAAGCAGTCTCTGCTTGGGGCAGGAAGAAAACAGGACCTGTACTGTGGAACAGTCCTCAGGATACCATCTCCTGGCTGAGGATCCAGAAATCAACTAAATGTTGATAGTACAAAAAAGGCACCAAACGACTTGTGACTCACACAAAATACTACCTTGACTTCTTTGGCTATTTTAGTGAGGATGTCATAGGTCAAAGTACTATATGAGCACAAACCCATTTAGTGAATGATTGCAGGAAGACCTGGTGTGCTTCATGTTAAAGAAGCTCATCCTACAACTATTCACTGAGGCTGCAAATTCAGGCTGCTCATTTATGTCAGACTGTATCGTTTCTGGGACAAATTTCTTGCTGCAATTATGAATTTAAACCCTGCTTACAGTAGCTGAACAGTTATTTGTTATTGAAACAAATCTAAATGAATATATTTTATATAGCAAAAATACAGTGGCCTTCAAAGAAACAATGTTTTAACTGCATATCTCAAAAGGACCCTATCCATAGTATTTCTACTGTACACAGTAACAGATATTTTGGCAGCTAATAAACTAACAGAGGCCTAGTTTTGTATTACATATTCTCCATAAGCACAACTATATTAGCAGGGTTTCAAATTATTTCTTAAAGCAGAGCAAACAGTGTGAATAGGATTAACAGAACTCTTGGAATTTCTTGATTTTTTCTGTAAAGTATATTTAGATAGATACAGTAATATAATAACCAATACATCAGCTTTACTTTAAAATTTAATGCTCTACTTAAGTATCAAGAAATGCATAGAAAATAAGGAACTATGATACAGAAATCCAATAATTAAATGGAATTAGCATAGAGTAGGAAAC